CCTACACTAGCAACAGGCAACTGAGCAAGGCTAGCACCTAAGCTAACAACACCAGAGTAAGCAGAGTCAGAAACACTAGAGTCAACAACAGCATACATAGCATGGGGAGTACCAATCAGATCAACTAACTGCTCAGCAGACATGGCCCACAGAGCGGAGCCGTAGCGCTGAACAAGAGGCAGCCAGTCAGGGGCAGGAGCACCAACCCCGTAGACCAAACGAACCGTGTCAGTGAGCTGAGCAAAGCACTGACCAGGGGGGTGAAACCGGCCACAAGGGTGGCCACGACGAGTGCCTGTCAGAACCTGGTAGGTGCAGGGAGTGTAAGCAGCACCGCGCTGGGTCTGACGCAGCCCCGACCCTGGAGCCAGCTGCTGCCGCTGCTGCTGCTGAGGCTGCTGGGAGGAGAGGGGCTGCTGGTGCTGCAGAAGCTGCTGCTGACGCTGAGCCTGGTACCACGCCGCTGCTCCACCAACCGGGGCAGGAAGTACAGGAGGCGACTGACGAACTCGGGCGTCGCCACCACCAGCAGGCGCAGTGGAGTCACCAGTCACTGCACGAGGCGCCTCTCCAGGCCCTGAACCTCCACCGCCGCCAGGCGCAACGCCACCTCCACTACCTCCGCCTCCACCTCCACTACCACCACCAGAACCGCCTTTCTTGCCACTCCTACCGCGGGACCGCGACGCAGTCGTAACAGCAGCTGCAGTCGCGTCAGTAGCGGCAGTGGCAAGTGAGGCAGTAAAGGTGGGTAACTGCGGGACTGTGCACCCGTGGAAGAGTGGGGGGGGCACAGCACCAGAGGCAGCGGCTACCGAGCGAAGGTTGCTCTCGACGTCCTTGAGTGCAGACTCAAGGACCTCGACGGTGAGCTCACTAGGGTGCTTCAGCAGAAGCGCATCGCGAACGGAGGCAAGGCGGTCAGGGAGGCTAGTGGCGATGAAATAGATAGTAATCGCCATAGGGGGAGGAAGCAGTGCAAGCTGTGCCTCAGTGCAAGCAGCGCGGTAACTAGCGTCGAGCGAGCGGAGGTGAGCGATCAAGTCAGCAGAGCGCTCAAAAGACGCCAGGTCAGGAAACAGGAACGGGAGGAACAGGCGGCCAAGAGAGACAGCAGCGGGAGTAGAGTAGCGGGCCTTAATCGCAGTGAGGTACGCAGCAGCGGTGCGAACCTGAGTGAAGTGAACCTCCTCAGACTCAGGGAGGAGGCTGCTGAGCGCGATGCAGGCCGCAGCGTCACGTGACGTCCAAGCCGTCTGGTCAGCTCGCTGAGTGGCAAAGCGGGCTCTAGCGGCGTCGTCAGGGGCAGGTCCTAAAGGCGTAGGGTCGGGGGGCGCAGGTAGGGCACCAGTAGCGTGCGCCCAGAGGGACTCGCCTGCCTGGACCTGACTCTCTAACAGACGGCGAGCACGAAGAAGCCAGACGGAAAAATCAAGAGGTCTACCGTCAGCGTCGAAACGAAGGACACGCTGAGTCGCCATAGCGAAAACGAACGCGAACGGAGAGGGAGGGGACAGCAGTAGATGAGAGGCAAATTAGGGTTCGGCGGTACTCTGGGACAGGGGAGGAGCGGACGCCACAGCGGGCGTGACAGCGGGAGGTAACAGGGGACTAAGCAGCGGAGAACGAGAGCGGGCGCAGCGGCGGGCGATGGCAGCGCGCTCGGCAGCAGGGGCCAGCAGCGCGCGCAGCGGGCGACGGCAGGGGGGGGGGGGGGGGGGGGGGGGGGGGGCGCAGCGGCGACGCGCGCAGCGGCGGGCGACGACGGCGGGGCCGCGGCGAGGCGCGAAGGGGCGAGCGACGGCTGCAGGCCCGGCGGCGACGAGCGCGGTCGCGAGCGACAGTGGCGGGCGCTGCGGGACGGGCGACTCGACGGGGGGAGAGGGCAGGAGCGACGGGACAGGGGGAGGGCGACGTGACGGGGGGAAAGGGGCGGGTGCGACGGGACAGGGGGAAGGCGACGTGACGGGGGGAAAGGGGCGGGTGCGACGGGACAGGGGGAAGGCGACGTGACGGGGGGAAAGGGGGCGGGTGCGACGGGACAGGGGGAAGGCGACACGACGGGGGGAAAGGGGGGGGGGGCGACGGGACAGGGGGAAGGCGACACGACAGGGGGAAGGCGCGAACGCGACGCGATGGGGGGAGCGCGACGCGACAGGGGGAAAGGGACGGGCGCGACTCGAGGGGGGGGGGGAAGGCGACGCGAAGGGGGGGGGGGGGGGCGGGCTACGCTACGAACGAGAGCGTGGCTCGGCGCTAGGCTCGGTAACAACGAGAAGGAGACGAACGAGAGCTAGGATCAGGCTCGGGTGGTACGAACGGAGAACGGCGGAACGGGATCCCACAGGATCCTAACCTAACTGATACCATGTCAAAATGAAGAATGGATGATGCATTGATGTTGGTTGGGGTACATATAGCTAACCCTAAGTTTTGTACCCCCTAAGACAAACCTCACTATAGGCTACAACATTTGACAGTTTGAAACCTGTTCCCGCTCTTTCCACTTCAAATGTGTTAACTGCCTGCATCGGTCTTGATCTGACGGTTTTTGGTGTCGTTTTGACTCTTCGGACTCGTCGACTTCGTACTCGGTAAGGTTGGTTTCTGGAGCGTACAGGAATGCCTTATCAAATCTCAAATCGTAACATATAGTGCAATTCTCGCTCGCTTGCTCAATTGCACTAGTAACACACATGAACAAATCACCAGTTCTGGGGTGGTATTAATGAATAAAATTTTAAATGGCCCAATGTATTAAGGATTATAGTATACTGACTCATTTAGAGATGTAAAACATTATAATTGCAGGATAATTTGGATACCGTACTGTGGTCCAAGAGTGGTGAGTAATTATTCAATTCTGTTACCGAGTATTAAATGCAGTTGTACCTCAGCAAGCACTCCGCATTGTGTGTATTATACCGTTTGGTGCCCCAATCTGGCTGGAGCTGGTTTTCGAGGCACCTGAAGCATCAGCCAAACAAAGACAGCTCTGAAGGACAGGATTACAGTGGTAATGTAGTGCCAACCACGTTCCAAGAATCCATCGTGAAGATTGTCGGCTATGACATGTCGAAGTACCCCTTCTCGAATGTGTACACGTGTAGTTTATCTTCGGATCCAAAGTTGTGTATGTTCCGTCCGTGTCCCCTCGTGACAACAATTGATTGTTTGACAAATGTCAGCACTAGTTTTAGTGTGGAGAACAACCCTCCAAGGCCCCCTGCAGTGCAGTCTAGTGCAGTGGGAAAAGTGGGAACTTGACTGAGTTAGTGCCCCGGGGCATGCTTTTAGAGAGAATAATGTACATCCACAGTCGTGCTGCCCCGCGTGATATTTGTCCGCTTAAACAAAGCCAATCAATAAATTCCGACCCTTGACAGATAGTCTGTCTGGCATAAGGGCGAAAAAACGCGGAGCAATATGCAAGTGAACGGTTAACCAACCCAAGCAGACGACAGGAGAGGAGACGACGATGACGCCCATGCGACAAGTTTGGATGGTCGTTTCAGAAATGGCGGGCACAGATCGTGTCGGGAGATTGGAGGAAGTGACTAACAGGGTGATCAAAGTATTTTTTGATGAACTGCGACGTCGAAGTCTAGACGTCAATAGACGTCGTGCTCGACGTCGATCGACGTCGAAATTGGCACTTTGATCACAATGCCGGCGACGAACTTTCACACAGGACAAATGCCGGCCTAAATAGTAGAACAATTGAATTCAGACGACTGTCGGGAATCGCAATGCTTTTTTCGTGTGCATATACAGTACGTCTATTGGCTGCGGAAACCACAAGCGAATTGTACAGCTTCGTCAATTTCGAGAATACAATTCTTGTCGAACTGTTTTGCTGTCTGTTGCGGTCACGTTATCACTGTACAGATGCGCTCAATACCGTACAAGTGGCGATGATGGCGTCAGCAATTTTTGAGGCGTACTTTGATCACAAAAATGGCACCCCTCACCTCACCTACCTTGCCCAACAACCTCGACGTCGAAAATTTGCAGCACTTTGATCACCCCATAAAGGCAGAATTTTGTGCGCGCGGCGGAGCTCCGCAGACCAAGTTACCAGCGACAGGCAAACGATCCAAGCGACGACGACGACTTCCATGCGACAAGATTCCTTTCTGCCGCAAAACTTGGGCAGCAGTTCGGTCAGTGGGGAGGGGACGGACAAGGATGAGGAGTCGGATTACTGTAGCTGGCTGCTGGATCGACGATGCCATCAAGTGTAACGCACAGAACATACAGCCAGGCCCTCCCACTAGCCTTTCCGCACATCAAGTGTATGCCTTCCCACCAGCCTTCCCCCACCAGCACTTAGGGAGTGCAGACCTACATAACCGCATTCAACCAAATGAAAACGATCTTGATTTCTGAAAAGCAGACAGTTTCTTCCGGTAAAGTTCACATTGACAACATGACACCACAACTGGCCAGCGGGACAAGACAAGGAGCGCAACAACACAAGACACGGAAAGGCAGACACCCTAAAGCAGCAGCCAAGGAGGGAGCTAGGGTTTCACCCACCTCTCAGCAAATCAGCTTCCATTAGAAGTCAAGAGCCTGAACCACTTATCCTTCTCCCACCAACCATCCGCAGCCAGGATTGCAGCAGAACAAGACAGGTTGGGTTGGGTCTAAGAGCTCTTGAGTGATGACTTGTGTTGTGGGACTAAGATGCGGATCGCTAGCGCAGTCGGGATGCGGGATAACCTAGTGCTGCTCTGGCCGTCAAACACAGCTTAGTGGTGTATTTCAATCAATCGCTTGGATTGTTGCAAAGGTGGTCACGACATTCTTGTGTAAAAGTAATCATACGACTCGAGGGCCAAGTTAGGGTAGTTCAGGGGTTCACGAAGGAATCAAGGTTCAACGTAATCTTCGGCTCGTGATAAAACGTATTTTCATCCCGTCCTCCAGTAGACACGGGGTGTCTTACGGCACACCGGCAAGTTAGGATAGACATGCCTGGTTGCAGATTACTTCGCATGGCTTCGCTGCGGTTACTCCTCCTAGCGACAATCTCTATTTCCATTCCCGTATCTCTTTCACGAGCGCAACTCGATGGCTCTGCTTCTGCTGTTTCCGGCTCAGTAGCTTATCAACCATCGGCATTCGAGGCGTACATGCAAGAAAGATGGCGGAAAGAGGAGCTTCTCAAGAAGGACAACCCGGAAGAGTTCGCCGCTTATAATGCTCGCGAGCTCTCAAATCACATGCTCCGGCGAAGCCTTGCCAGCGGTCCGATCAGAAAGTCTGTTTTCTCCAAGTATTCCGCTTCTCCCGAGGAACTCGAAGAACATCGTATGGTTGGGAGGTTGTTAAGAGAAAAACTGTTCGGCGAGAAAGAAGCGGAAAGTTCCTACTTGGGTCGAAAGCTGCAAGAGCTTCTGAAGCCAAGTTCGCCGAAGCGAAGGATTCTCGCGCAGCCAGCTTACATGGAGCTGTACGAAATGGCGGATTTTCCTCAGCGAAGAAAGTTACAGGGTAACTCGGGGAAGGTCCAGGCAATTCAAGCGCCTGACTTGGGAGCGCCTCCTGCTCGCGGCGACTTGAATATCACGTGGTTTCGATGGCAGAGCGTGTCGACGCCGACGCTCGTTGACTGGAGCATCACGCCGTACATGACGCCTATGCTGAACCAGCAGTTCGTACGTCCCCCTCTCTGCCTCTCTCTCGGTCTGCTTCGCTTTGTATTCTTACTGTCAGATTGGAACATTTTTGCTTCCTCTTTTTCTCCACCCATTGTTTGCTCAATTTGGGTCTTGACATGGTGTTGGTATGCCTCTTCATGGATGCTCGCTCGCACCTCCCGTTTCGTCCCCCACAAGCTCCCCACCCCACCCCACGCCCCCGCTCCCCCCTTCCCCCATCTCTCGTAATCTCCCTCCATTCCGTCCGCTCTCCTCTCCTCTCAGAACTTGCTCTATTGACTCGCGAAAGAGAATTTGATTTTTCCTTTCCTTCCCTTTCCTTCCGTTCCCTTCCCTTTTTTTCTCTTCCCTTCCCTTCCTTTTTTTCCCCCTTCCCTTCCATTCCTTTTTTTTCCCTTTCCTTCCCTTCCCTTTCCTTCCCTTCCCTTCCCTTCCCTTCCTTTCCCCCCTTCCCTTGCAGTGCGAGAGCTGCTGGGCGATGACGGCGACGGACCTCGTGAGCATCGTGTGGGCGCAGATCAACAACCAGACGGCGGAGCTACTCTCCACGCAGCACGCCTGCGACTGCTCCTCCTCCGCGTGCTGCCGAGGCGGCTGGCCCGAGTGGGTGTTCCAGTTCATTATGGCGAACGGCGGGGTGGCTTCTAACGCGGATTATCCCTACGCGGGCATGATGAACTCGACGTGTGCGAGCGTCGCGAAGACGAAGCTCAAGGCGAAGGTGCGGGTTGGGTGGAGAGGGGGAGCGGGAGCGGGTGCGGAGCATGCATTATAGGGGACAAGGGTGGCTGCGGATGGGGGGATGGAGATTTGGGGGGTGGGGAGGAGGGGGGTCAGAAATGTGTGTGTGTGTGTGTGCGTGTGTGTGTGTGTGTGTGTGTGTTTTTTTTTTTTTTTTTTTTTTTATGACTGCTGCCTTACGTCGACGCTCATCCTGTTGTTCTCTGTTCATCTTTCTGTTGGTCTCCGCGTCCCCTCATCGTCCTCCCCGCTTTTTTGTCTCTACCTCTCGCTCTCTCCCTGTGTTCCCCCCTCTCTTCCCCCCCCCTCTTCTCTCTCTCTCTCTCTCTAGCTATCTCTCTATCTCTCTCTCTCTCTCTCTCTCTCTCTCTCTCTCTCTCCTCTCCCCCCTCCTCTCTCTCACACTCTCTCTCCCTTCTCCTCTCTCTCTCTCTCTCTCTCTCTCTCTCTCTCTCTCTCTCTCTCTCTCTCTCTCTCTCTCTCTCTCTCTCTCTCTCTCTCTCTCCCTCTCTCTCTCTCTCTCTGTCTTCGCTCTCCCCGTTAATCATCGCGCAGATCAACGGGTGGGAGAAGGTGCCGGCGCGGAGCAACATGGCGTTGATGAAGGCCGTGGCGCAGCACCCGTGCTCGTGTATATCGCGGCAGCAGCAGCGACTCATCGTACGCTCCACTCCGCTCTCTGTTTATCTCCCTCCCTCCGTCTCTTTCTCTCCTTCCCTCCTCTTTCTCTCTCTCTCTCCGCCTCTCTCTCTGTCAATCACGCGCTTGTCCCGTCCCTCAACACCCCATCGGCCCCCCCCTTCTTCCCCAACCTTCCCCACATCGTTTTCATCGTGCGCTCTCATGTTCGACTTTCGTTTCCCAGAGTACATGTTTCCCTTCGTTTCCTCTCCTTTCAGCGTCGTCCATGTCTTCTTCCCCACTTCGTTCCTCCTCCCCCCATTCACCCCATGCAAACTTCCCCCTCGTTCACGCTTCCACTCGCTGACCCCATGCATGGCAGAATTATTCGGGTGGGATTTTCTTCGGTCAGTGCAGCGGCGAAATCGACCACGCGGTGGTGGTCGTGGGTTACAGTCTCGTCGACCCGAACTCGCCAGTCTGGATTTTAAAAAACACCTGGGGACCCTCCTGGGGCGAAGGCGGTTACATGCGGCTACCGATGCTGGCGGACGGGCCTGGCAAGTGTAATATGTTAAGCGAACGGGGACTTTACCCTACCTTTTACGACAAGACCAAGGGATCTGCTCTCTGCAAGCTCCCGATAAATCCTTGCGGAGGCGGGACGTGTGTGACAACCGGTGGTGCGCGGTGTTGTAACTGCCCGCCCGGATATGTAGAGAGACTGGAGAACGACGCGCCTAAGTGCACGGTGGCTACACCTTGTGATGCGAATCCGAATCCGTGCGGTTACGGGACATGCTACAACGAGTTCGACGGCAGCTACACTTGCGCATGCCCTGCTGTAAGCTGTCCTGTCCACCACTTCTCCCTCTTCTGTTAGCTGCTCCGATTTTCGTCAGTCATAATCTTTCGATCTACTTTGTGCCGTTGCAATTTCATTTATTCAGCCGAACTTTTTGTCTGTGCGTCTCCAGGGCTCGGTGATTGGTTCACGTGTTGAGGGCAGCATGACTTGCGTTCTCGGCACGTTTCAGTCCGGTCTCCAAACCTACACGATTCTGCTAGGCGACACCTGCCAAACCATCGCCAGCACGTTCGGGTTCACCGTAGACTTTCTCCAAGCCAAAAATCCGTTCCTCGACTGTTCTCAACCACTCACCCCGGGTTATGTCATCCTCGTCGGTTCGAAAAACACCACTTTAGGCTGCTCCGCGATGGATATAGTCAACCCTACCGACACATGTAGCACAATTGCTACACGCAATAACATCACTGTACGCCAGCTGTTAGGAATCAACCAACCCTCAACTGCAACGTTTCGCTGCAGCGGTCGCAGACGCTGTGCGTCGCGCCGGGCGCTCTGTCGTCCACGTCGCCGTTGATCCGTTCGTGCGGGCGAGTGTACAACGTGGGGCCCGCAGGACCGATGCACAGACATCGCCCGTGGATTCAACATCTCACTTACGGATTTCGTCTGGTGGGTGCCATGCCATCCCGTGCCCCTGAACCGTCGGATTTGTGTTCTATCTCGGTTGCTTTCTGTTTTGCTACCATTTTCGGACTGAAATATGCGTCTCTCCTTGTACCTGTTTGCTTCCTGTGCTTTCAGGCTGAATCCAGGGATCCGGTTGTGACGACAACCCCATCAACAATGCCATTGCAGTCTGTGTGGTCCTCTCACCACAGAGGTAAATTCTCCCAACTTCTCCCCCCTTCCCCTCCTCTCCCGCCTCTTGTCCATTTCCAAACACCATCACCTCCACTATCTTTCCCACCCATTCCTGCCTCTCCCCCCACTCTCCTCTTTCCCCCCCTTCCTCCCCACTTTCTTACTTTCGCTATTCTCTGGAAGCTGTACCCAATTCGCGCTCCAAGCGAGTGCTCAAATCGTTGGCAATGCATTCTTCTCTCCGCCACCTACTGTCCTTTCTTCTCAGCCGCTTCTTTGATCTTTGAACTCTTCCTCTCTCCCCCCATCCGCCTTTCCCTTACCCCGTTTTTCTTTGCAGTTTGTCACAGTCGACTGCTCCTCGTGGTACGCAGTCACACAGGCGGACTCGTGTCGCGCATGGCCAATTCCGCGGGCTCACAGTCAGCCAGTTCCTGCGCCTCAACCCAGGCCCCGCAGGGTACGTCTCTCTTTCCGCGCTCCCCCCCCCCCCTCCCCCCCCCCTCCCCCCCCCCCCCCACCCCCCCCCACCCCCCCTCTCTCTCTCTCTCTCTCTCTCTCTCTCTCTCTCTCTCTCTCTCTCTCTTTACCCCTCCCCCCCCCTCCCCGCTTTCCCCTATCTCTCTCCTTGTCACGACCCTATCACCTCTTCACCTCACCATTTTTTACCCTTCATTTCCATTAATCCTCACCGCCTTCCTTCCCTCCTATTTCTCCCCTCTCGCATCGCCCGCGCACCCTCCTGCAGTGCTACCCGCCGTACCTCCAAATCGGGCAGAAAGTCTGTGTGAACGGCACAACACAGTCCATGACCAAGTATCCTCTCTCCCCGAACGTGATCCCCTACTCCGTGGGAGTCAACGACACGCTCGCGTCCATCTCACAGCAATACGCCTCCATGTGTCCAAATAACACGTTCCCAGCGGATATCTGCTCGTCAAACTCCTTCCCAGACTGCACAGACCAGTCCATTACACCCAGTCAAATGATCCTCATTCCCTGCACGAGAAAGATCGCGGGGGATATTTGCGCCGATTCCCTCCCCGTCTGCGGGGCGGACTATGTGACTTACAAGTCGGTGTGTCATGCAGTGCTAAGCTTTGCGCTGCCACTGGTGAGGACCGGCCCGTGCAACCTGTGCAATGAGGGGATCTGCCAGAACCGGACGGCGATAGAACCGATTCCAAACACGTGCCCGGCGCCGCCCGGCATGTGCCCGTTCCCAACATGGCCTCTTACTCCGGATTATTTCTACTACTGTCCATGGTTGTTCAAATCCCAGTGTGACTGCTTGCTGGTGAGCTGAATTCTTTCCTGTCGCCCCTACCTCCTTCCCTCCCATTCTTGCTGCTTTGCTGTCTCTTTTCAATCTCTCTGCATGCACTTTCTCAACCCCCTCCTCACGCTGGCCCCCCTCCCATCCCCGTTTCTCTTGTTTTTTTTTCGGTGCTCAATTTACCACGATCAGTCACTCAGTTCTTTTTTTTTTTGCCCCTGTTCTTGCAGTACACCTGTGATTATCTCTGTAACAGAACGGCAGCATACTACAAGTACACCCTGGGCAGCAAGTACGCCTTATACAGAAATGCGACAGTCTTCAAACCAGCATGCAACAACACATGTATGAGTGACTTGCGGACAGGCTGCTGAGATGCTCAACTGCCGCCCTACTGGCGGTTTGTTCAGGCCCTCCAATCACATCAAAGAAGCGGCTTGCCAAGTGGATAACTTGTGCAGAGCTCTGTTTGGACCATCAGTCTACTACCAGTGGCAACAATTTGAAGGTCTGGTGTGGTTGTACTGCGAAGCAGCTGCTGGAAGTGGTACATGACTTGGGCTTCTGGCTTCTTTCCTGAATACTAGACTGATTCAATTGTTTAATAGATATAAATTTGTTTTGCCCTTCATATGTAGTCGTTGGACTTATTAAATTCTGTCTACGTCGTGTATCGGAAAATCTCAGCCGAAAGGGGTCGTCAAGCCTGACGACCCTCCGACGACTTGACGACATGCTGCCCCGGGCAGAAAAAAACTAAACCCCCATCGGATGGCATGCCATCCGAGGGAGCCTCAACCCTAAAATCCATGCCTCCCCGTGTTTAGGGTTGAGGCTCCCTGACCGGATGCATGCCCGAATGGGGTTTAGTTTTTTTTGCCCGCGGGCAGCGAGCTCCCCCGGGCGGACTCGCTTGTCCGCTGAGATGTATCATTCGAACATTCTCAGTCGGCGCACCTCACATCCTTGTTCCACAATTGGTCAGATTCGCCGGCTCTCCCAACGCAGTGACGCTGTTTCTCACTTGAGAACTGTCGCGTCGCAATTATCGCTTACACGGCCATCACCGTCAACAATCTCATTCCTCCCCCAACGTGCGAGCCGGCTCAGCTGGACGTCGAGCAGGTCATCGTTTCTCTAGCCGGGCTCAGCGGGCTTTCCAGCTTGCGGTAAACTTTTCACCGTACCGAACCGAAGATTCACTTTCCATCGCATCCATCCATACGTACATACATACCTAGAGGTCTCCCTCCCGAACCAGCGCCCAAAATTTCCATTACAGTCGCAGACGTCATCACACTGCCCCTCCTCCACAGCAGCATTTCAGTCACGGACGTTCGAGACAGCTTTGATACCCGAGCCGGATGGACGTCGTTATCGTTACAACTAAGAACCCCCAACCTCCAACCGAACCTCCTCCTTCCAGCTGTGCGTCTGTTCCACGTGTTTCTCGGGATTGTTTTCAGGGGAAAGTTATCTATTCTTGCGCTAGACGTGACTGTCGGTCGAATTGCTCCTACTTTTTTGCTAGCTTAGCTCTCGCGCTGCCAACGTTGCTCCTGTTTGGTCCGACAAGACGTGAATGTCGGATTAGCTCGCGAAGTCTTGAGAAGGCTTGCTGTTTTATTGCGCTGAGTAGGCCTTGCCAAGTTATTTCTGCAGGATTAGGTTTGCAAAGCAAGCAACCTCGTTCATTGTTGACACTTCCCATTTAGCAAAGCAGTAGTTTCGAATGACTTCAGCAACAGTAGACAGCAGCAGCACTGGCCGGCACAGCAGCCGCGACTTGCAACTCCAAAACGCAGGCTTACCAGTTTCAACCAATCCACGTCAGCAGCAAGAGGTCGAATCGCAGTATACCGAGGGCCATACGGACGAGACTGACGTGGAATACAGCTCGCAACAGGAGGTGGAATCGCAACCGTTGGTTAGGAGGCAAAGTAGTGAAAATAGCAGCGCAAGCGCCAGTCGAACGAGCAGAACCGGCGCTAGCACCAGCACCACAAGCACAAGTCTCACGAGTGAAAGCGGCACGATTCCTAACAGCACAGGCACCAGCTGTACTGATGGGGAAGTTATAAGCAGCAGCCATGATAAGGTCTCCCTTCCGAGTCTGCAGCAGTTTACGAGCCCGAAAGTGTGTCGATTGGGGATCGCGACGCCAAGGAGTGCCGTATTTGTCAGGAAGAGGATGACGTGTCGAAGCTGGATGTCCCGTGCGCGTGCTCCGGTAGTCTCAAGGTACGATTGGCTTCGGAGTACGCAAAAGTAAGAAGAAGAAAAGAGAAATGTTTTAAAGTAGTTGGGCTCTCATCTCATGTGTGTGATTGCTCCTGTCCCCGTTATTGTGTAACTGCAGTACGCGCATCACGATTGCATCCAGAGGTGGTGTAACGAGAAGGGCAACACGCAGTGCGAAATTTGCCATCACGTAAGTCTTCCCTCCAAGATTTTCAGTATCTTGTTAGGCTTCCGTCCGTCTTAGTATGCGTGGTGTCTACCATTTTTACCATTTCGTTTCACTCGTCTTCCACGTTGCTCACATTCCCGCGGCTGCAATGAATGCTTTCAGGTCGTTCGTGGTTTGCTGCATTCCCGTCCACTCCCCTCCTCCCTCCCCCTCCCCTTTCCCCGTTTCTCCCGTCCACCCTCTCTCCCCTCCCTCCCTCCACCCCCTTCCCCCTCTCCCCTTTTTTGTTATTGTTCTGTTTCCTATTCATGTTCCAAAAGCGGCCACATCCCGCTGGCCCCGTCCCCTTATTCTTCACGAGCATGCTGACAAAGCCTGTCTCGTAACCCTGTCCCCCGTCGTCCCGCCTCCCCGTTCCGTCCCCCCCGTTCTCCCCCCCTCCCCCCGTCCCGCCCCTCCCGTTCTGCCCCCCTTCGTTCCGCCCCTCCCCGTCCCACCCCCCTCGTTCCGCCCGCCGATCCCCTTCCAGCCGTTCAAAGAGGGCTACACCGCGCCGCCCCCGCCCGCCTCGCCGCCAATCACGCCGGGTCTCGTGGCGCTGCAGTTCCGCGACGGCTCGGGGCAGCTGAGCCACATCGTCACGTTCCGCGACGCGGTGACGGGCGAGGAGCTGCGCTTCGGCCTCGAGGACTTCGCGTCGGCGCCCGCGGCGCCGGAAATCCCGGAGCCCGCTACCGTCAGCTGCCTAAAGTCGCTCATTATTATCGTACGTGAATGATTAATCAGCTGCTCATCACTGTCTGAATTTTTCGACCTTCTCGCTGTGTATTTCTTCTGGTCTACATTTCCCTCCACGTATTCCAAGGCGCCACTTGACCCAACGTTTTTTTCAACGTTCAGTTCTTGCTCTGCCGCCCGTTTCTTTCTCTCTTTCTTTCTTTTCTTTCTTTATTTCTTTTTGGACGTTGCTCTCCACCCCCACACGCAGGTTCTGTTGCTCATCTTCGCGCGGCACTTTTTCGCGCTCGTGCTCGAGGCCAGTGGCGATGACGACGACGTTGACGAAGACTCTGCGGAGTTCACGGTAAGGCTGTGCGACTGTGTGCTGCGTGACGGTATGCGACGGTGTGCTGGGTGAGGGTGTGCGACGGTGTGCTGGGTGAGGGTGTGCGCTGTGCAGCATTCTCCTGCCCTGCTCCATCCCCTCCCTCTTTCCCTTCCCATTTACCCCCTTTCCCACCAACCCTCCCGCCCCCTTCCCCTCTCGTTCCCTTTCCTGCCTCCCCCGCCCACCCCTCCCCCTCGCCCCCCCCTCCCCCTCGCCCCCTCTTCCCCACCTCTGCAGATATTTCTGATGCAGCTGCTTGGCATACTGTTGCCCTGCTTCGTCCTCGCTATCTTTCCCCCTTACCGCCGCTTTCCCGTCCCCACCCCCCCTTTCCTCCCCTGCCGTTTTCCCCCTCTCCTCCCCCCCTCACCCCCCTCCTCTCCTCTGCAGATATTTCTGATGCAGCTGCTCGGCATTCTGCTGCCGTGCTTCATCCTCGCGCGCGCCCTTGCTGCCATACACGAGCGCTACCGCCAGGTGGGTTGCTGTGGGGGAGGGCTGATGGGGTGCGATCGTGGGTTGGTGGAGGGAAGATGGGAAAAGGGGGGAGGGAAGATTTTGGGGCGGGGCAGTGGGGAAGGGGTGACGAGGTGGGCGGGGGTGGAGGGGTGATGGGGTGGCGCAGTGTGGTCGTGGGGCGGGGAGGAGGTGGGGGGAGGTGGGGGGAGGTGGGGGGTGATGTTGGTGATGAGTAGGATGATCGGGCAGTGGGTGTGGAGCATTCTTGTTGCCATACATGAGCGCTACTGCCATGTAGTCCCCCCTTTCCAATCCTCTTCCCCCTCCCCCTCTCCCCCCCCCCTCCCCACCCCAAATTGAAACCCATCATTCCATTCCCCCGATTATTTCTCTCAACAGGAATTCGCCGAGGCAGAAGCAGCCGAAGCTGCCACTCGGCTCTCCCTCCTCCTCCAATCCCGTTTCAACACATCAGCATCACGTGCCAGGTCAGGCGCAGGACCAGCTGACGTGGCACTCAATCTCGACCTCTCACCAGACACAGACACATCCCCCTCCTCCTCCTCCTCCTCCTCCTCCTCCTCCTCCTCTTCCTCTTCCTCCTCCTCCTCCTCTAGTGCCTCCACTCCGGCCTCCTCCCTACCCACCTCACCATCTGCCGCTAGACGATCTCTCTTTCAGGGGTTCAGGCGTGGGTTTTTCAGTACTTTGTTGCACCACGAGCAGCAGCATCAGCAGCAGCAGCAGCAGCAGCAGCAAGCGCTGACAGTGTCTCTCTAGAGAGACCTCTGAGGCGCCTCAAAAGGAGCAGGAGCAGCGCGGCGCCTCAAAAGCAGCAGGAGCAGCAGCAAGCACTGACAGTGTCTCTCTAGAGAGAGAAGCCGGCAAAAAGAGACTGCTACACGTCTGCTGCAAGGTTGCTGCAAATCGCTGTGTAGCCGCTGCACTAGTGCTCACAAGACTGCTGGAAAGCTGCTGTAAAGCCACCGCCCACTGTCTACGAGACTGCTGATGAGACAGACTGTCTCCTGACATGGCAGAATCAACCGGCCAAGTGCTCATTACTGTAGTGGTTGCGGTCAGTCATAGGCTCATAGCCCAACACGTATCGTAACAGCGGCTCCTGCAACCACTGTAGGAGCTGCTGTTTCGAGCCCAACAGCTGGCTCTGATACAAGTGTTGCCTCACACTTGCAGCATCAACACTTGTGGGTGGTGTCAATAGCAGCCCTAATAGCTGAGTAGATGTATGAAGATGCTTGGCATGAGTATCAGCAAGCGTAAATAAACTTGCGCTGATGGTGTCAGCCCTAGTTGCAGTGACACAGCAGCAGAGCTGCTTTGGTGAGTCCTGCCCCATTGTCTATATTGATGTCCATTCAAACCTTTTTTTGCAAAGTCAGTGGAATAGTGCACTCTTGAATGTTAAAACCGAAATATAAAATAGTGAAGGCAGGACCATCTTGAAAACGTGTTCCGCAGAGGCAAAACAAGAATGACGTTGGGCCGATAAAACACTGTTCCAAACATCTCCCGCCGTCAGATTGAACTTACGTGATTGGTTCCCGCCAAAACAAAGTTTCAGAACGTGCTCATCCAAGTTCAGATCGTGGTCGCGGGGTCGCACTTCTGCATGCGACATTTGCACGACAGTTGTTTGCCGTGCGTTTCCATGGTTGGGCCCAACTTGGACTTTCAAGTTGGGCATGGGTTCCACATCTGCTTCTTTCAGCGCACGTCAGTAACATAGCACCATAACTCGCGTGGCTTGCCTATCATAGAATAGCCGAGGCGACAAATTAGGCTAATCCGACATAGTCATGAAACAATTGTTCGACTTCTTTCGTCGTCGTTGCTGTTGTTTTCCTCGCGACGGCCTCGAAACGCATTCCCGTAGCCTTTCTTCTCAACCGTCCCTTCGCCCAGCACTCGCTCATCGCGATCGCCGCGGATCAGCCTCCGGTCGCTCTTCCTCTCATCCCTCCCATGTCCCACCACGCTGTCCTCGCGTTCGCCTTAGATCGCCCTCGCGTCCCATCGCAATCGCCCTCCCGACGCCCTCGTTTTACCCTTCTTCTCTCTAGCCCGTTTTCCACGCTGTCACTCTCCCGTCGTGTTCCCTGTCGCCCGTTCCTTGCCCGTCACGTCGCCCACCCTGTCGCCCGTCCGTCGCGCGTCACAACGCCATCCCGTGTCCCTTCCCGTCGCCCTTTGCCGTAGCCATTCCCTCTCAATCGCGCCGCCCGTCAAGTTACCCTCCCCTCACCCTCGCAATCGCCCTCACGTTCTGATTGCCCTCGCAGTCTCCCCTCCCCATCCCATCGCTTTGCTGTTTTCCTCCCCTCCCGCCGCCCTTGGTGTTCTCCCATCCCCTTCCCTCGTTCTTCATCTCTTCCCTCCCCTCCCGCCGCCCTTGGTGTTCTCCCATCCCCTTCCCTCGTTCTTCATCTCGTCGCCCTTGGTGTTCGTCCATCCCCTTCGCTCGTTATCCTCTCTTCCCAACCCTCCCGTTGGCATGGGTGTTCTCCCTTCCAATTCCGCCGTTCTTTCTCCGAGTAAAATTTTCTGCCAAACATTCAAAATTTTCTGCCTCTGTGCACAAAGTTCATGCTCGTCGAGTCTCTGCTTGTATATGTGTTTCTGCTATGGATATTGCGTGCTGTTATTGTCCCGAGATTTGGTGAAGTTCGGACTCTGGTGAATGTAGCATTTCTTCTCTCGTCGCGCAATCCCCTGTCAAATTCGCACATCAGAAATCCACCCAATCAGAATTGCAAGAGAATTTTACTGTTTCCCGTTCCCTTTTACAATGCTTCGGCCGTCAAAAGAAAAAATCACCAGCACCACAACGTTCCCAAGCGAGAGTTGTTTTCAAGTTGGACCCAACTAGAAGGGGGGGGTCACTATTTTAGCTGCTGGCTTTAAGTTGCTAACAAGCTAGGGAAAAGGCTTTTGAAGAAGGAACACGTTCTTTGAATCTGTGGCTAGGAAGAATGCTATTGTTAAAACAGAACAGACCCTTAAAAAAAAATTCACATTTTTCTTGTTCTACACATTGAATGGTTCACATGCACATGCATGCGACAACTGCTTCTCAGACAGGAGACGAAATCTGAAGACAAGGAATGTTGAAGTTGAAAATGCATAGAAGTGTGGAATAAGCACACGTAGCAAGCTGGTGGTGATGGTGCTGTGCTGTTAGTGGTGGTGATGATGGTGGTGGTGGTCATGGTAATGGTGGTGGTGGAGCTTCTAATGCTGCTGCTGTTGCTGCTGATGGTGCTGGTGCTGCTGCTGATGGTGCTGGTGGTGCTGCTGCTGGTGGTGCTGCTGGTAAATTAGGAGTTGACTCAAGAATAACCTGCAAGACAAAGCAAAGGTTAGGTTCGCTGATCCCCCTGTGCCTCTCTCCCTCCTCACGCCACTACACCAGATGAACTCTCAAACAGCACGAACATGCATCCCCCTCTCGTTGACACAGACACACAGACAAACACACTCTCATCCCTCGTCCTTCGCCCCTCTCAGCCTCACACCCACCTTCGCTCTCCCACCTCCCCCCTCTTAGCATCTACTGATTACGCAAAAATGGAACAGTGGGAGTGATGGGAAGGGAGGAAAGAGAAGCAGAGAAGGGAAGGGAGATTAAGGTTCCTGCCACAGCTCACATCTTCTTTTGAGAATTCCCAAAAGTAATCCCCAATAAGTGTCCACTGGGACGGCAACGGGAGCTTCCTAACATACGGTACCTCACTTTTTCTCCCCGACTAGATCACATCTCAACACCCGCCCACTTAGCACTCGGCCGGATTTCCCTCCTCCACTCCCCCCCCCCCCCCCCCCCCCCCCCCCTTTTTTTTTTTTTTTTTTTTTTTTTTCTTTCTTTTTTCTTTTCAGCGAACAGCGGTTTCCACCGCCCACCCTCCTCACACTCTTCTCTCCCCCTTCCATTCTCAACACCCAGTGCCACACTCCAGCTGCCAAGTTAAGAAGCCCCCCATGCCCCTTACCCGTGCACCTACCCAATGCACCCACACACACGCCTATCCAAAGCAACCACCCACAACCGCTTGGTAAACCTCTGTCATTCTTTCAGTCTCAGCCACACAGGCACCTCAAGCCTCACCCATGCTTTCCCGAATCACCTTACCCAATCGAACCACCTTATAAGGAGCATTTCCAAAGTCTTAGCTATACTTGCACCCCCTGCCACATACTCACCTCTGCAGGGGATTGGGCCTTACCCGTCCATCCATTGCCGCTTCTGCCCCCTCTCCCTCCACAGTATGTGCCTTGCCCTCGTCAATCTTCGAACAGTACTGCTTTGAATCGCTCTGCATTCCTCACTCTTTGCACTGCACCACACAGCACCCCATTGCACTGCTCTGCACGGCTCTGCGACACTCTTTCCTGCCCTGCCATATTCTGCGACACTCTGTTTGTCTCTCTCTGTGCTGTGCCCTCGCATGCTGGTTGGCGGCACGGGCTTGGGCCCTCCCCCATTTCTATATAGCCTTTGCACGGCATTGCTCTGTGCTGCACTGCCTTTCTCACCCTTTGCACCGCACTGCAAAGCACTGCAAAGCACTGCAAAGCAATGCAATGCGCTGCTCTGCTATGCTGTGCTCACGCATAACGGATGGTGGCATGGGCTCACCACACTGCACAGCACCGCGCTCCACGCCACCACACTGCTCTGCACCGCACTGTGCTCACGCAAAACGGTTGGTGGGATGGGCTTGGGCTTTCTCCCTCTTCTGTGTCGCTTTTGGGTTGAGCTTGGCCTGTCACAGTAGCACAGACACATCCACACACACATGCACATGCACACACACACATGCACACACACACACACACACACATGCACACGCACACACACACATGCACATGCACACACACACATGCACACACACACACACACACACATGCACACGCACACACACACATGCACATGCACACACACACATGCACACACACACACACACACACATGCACACGCACACACACACATGCACATGCACACACACACATGCACATACATGCAAACATGCACAAGCAAACACACACATGCACATACATGCAAACATGCACAAGCACACACACACATGCACATACGTACACACATGCACATGCGTGCACAAAAGCACATGCACAGGCACGCACACATGTACACACCCCGCATTGCACACGTATGCACAAGCATGCGAAATTGCGACTCGCCCACCACTTGCATTGCACATGTGCATGCACACAAGCACACATGCATGCACATGCACACATCAAGTTAGCATTTTCCCCCACAAGCTAGGCACACATGAGCACACACGCACACACACACCACAGAAATTCAGTCACCAATACCAGCATACACACACACAACCACCCAACTGTCAATTGCCCCACATCCTCCCCTACCTCCTACCCCCTCCCCCATTCCCCCCAAAATTAACACAAACACCCACCCACCCCCCTGCCTCTTTCCCCCACAAACACACCCATGGCACACCCAGAGAGAGAGAGAGAGAGACACACACACACACACACACACACACACACACACACACACACACACACACACACACACACACACACACACAAGCACAGTTAAACAATCGCACCAATAATGCAATAAAAAGGTGGACAACTTCACAACCCACTCCAGTTCCCGCCCTTCTTTTCCCGACTATCCATTTCCCAACCCCCAACTCTTCTCCCCCCCAACCCCCATGGCCCACCTCTCCTTCCCACAATTCCTTCGACAGGGGTTGAACAGACACAGCCACAACGACCCCCAGTTTCCCGTGTTTTGAGACGTCTCAAAACACGCCCCCTTCTTTGTCCCGCCGCCTTCCCCCTCCACGTCCCCCACCCTCCAAGGCCCACCTCTCTTTTTTTTTTAGGTTGATTTTGAGAATTCTCAAAATCAACCTAAAAAAAAACAGACACAGCCACAAAGCCCCCCCCATTTCCCACGCCCCCTTCTTTGTCCCACCGCCTTCCCCCTCCACGCCCCCCGTCCTCCAAGGCCCACCTCTCCTTCTTGCAGCCGCTTCGACAGGGGGTGAACAGCCACAACAACCCCCCATATTCCCACCCCCCCATCTTTGTCCCCGTCCTTCCTCCCCCCTCCCCTTCCACCCACGGCCCACCTCTCTTTCCTGCAGTTTCTTCGACAGGGGATGAACAGCCGCACCCACACGTGCCAACGTGCACTCGACCGTAAATCAACAACCCATTACTCCCGAGCTGACTTCTGAGTCCCGTGAAATCAAAGTACTTTTGAGACGTCTCGAAAATACTTCAATTTCAAATAGCCACTCCACACCCACACGTGCCAACACACGCACACTCAGCCATAAATCAACAACCCATTACTCCCGAGTTGACTTCTGGGACGACCCAAAAGTCAACACACACATACAGCCGTAGATCAACCTTCCATTAATTTCTGCCATTCGATCCCCCACCCTCCATTCCCCAACCCCCAAATCTTCCCCTCTCCTCCCCCCTCTCCTCCCCCCTCTCCTCCCCCCTCTCCACCCCCACGGTCTACCCACCCTAAACCCTGCAGCTGCTTCGACAGAGGGTGAATCGCCACAGCCCAGATCCCGCCCTTCTGTTCCCCACAGTCCATTTCCCATCTCCCTACAAATCTCCTCCCCCCCATCCCCCACGGCCCACCTCTCTTTCCTGCAGCTGCTTCGACAGAGGGTGAACAGCCACAGCCACACGAGCCAATGCGCACGCAGCCGTCCGATTTGCCATGATCACATCCACAACGTCGATCAGCACCGTCCATTCTGCCTCCCAGCCAGGATGCCCCGATCCCGCCCCCCCTGCTGCTGCCCCCACCCCCCCTCCCCCATGCTGCAATGCCGTTAGTAACGTGGTAACCGCATGGGTCAGCTGGGACGGGTTGACGGTCGGTGGTAGTGTAACAGGCTCGGTAGCTTCGCCAGACCTCCCTTTCTGCTTCGGCTTTGGCTTCGAAGCAGCTTCCAAAGCTGCAGCCGCTGCAGCAGCCGTGGCTTGGAGCACGTTCGGGAGGTTGTTACCGAACAGGAGGTGGAGGTAGGTTCGGGCGAGAGGCACGTTCCGAGGCAGGAGGTCCAGGACTTGCCGAACCTGCTCTAGCTGCCGAGCCTTGTCAGGGTGATTAGGAGGAAAAGACGGCGTGAGAGAAGGAGCAGGAGCAGGAGCGGGAGCACCATTAGGGACAGCAGGTGACAGCAGCGCCACTGGCGAAAAAGCAGCAGCACTAGAAATGACAGAAGGAGCAGAGCTGATGCCCAGACACGCGTTGAGGAGAGAGAAGTCGAGATTGGGGGGGCCTAGGAGCCACAAGAGAGCCTGTTGCACTTGAGGGGGTAATCCGAGGTGAGGGGAGGTGAGGGGGAGGGAAGGTGGCTGGGTAATGGTGTGAGGGAGGGAGAGGAGGAGGAGGGGAAGAGAGGGTGGAGAGGCGGGAGGAGGTGGTGGAGGAGAGAGTGTGATTGAGCCCAGAGGAGGAGAGAAGGGATGGTGAGAGGAGGGTGGGGAGGAGGGACGGAAGAGTCCAGTGAAGACGCAGCGGAAGGATGCGAGCCAGATGAAGGATCAACAGAGGCTGAAGGATCAAGAGCAGTGGGAGTGTGGGCCGCAGCGGAAGGATGAGCAGCAGCAAGAGCGAGGGCCCATCGAACAGCGTCCCTCACATAGAGGTAGCTCCCACTGCTCACTGCTTCCCTCACTGCTGCACTTGCTGCTGCTGCTGCTGCTGCTGCTGCTGCTGCAAGGTCAGCAGCACTGCTTTCCACATCCATGCAAACCGCACCATCAGCACTACCAGCGGCAGCAGCAGCATTATCACCACCAGCTGCAACAGCACCAGCGCCAACAACAGCACCTGCAGCAGCAGCACCTCCACCAGCGGCACTTGCACCAGCAGCACCTGCACCAGCGGCACCTGCACCAGCAGCAGCAACAGCCGCGAGAGAGGGTGACACTGCAAGGCCTTTAGAGTGCAGCAAGAAGCGCAGAGAGAGACACATGAGCCCATACACTGCTGCACCACCACCAGTGCCGCCCAATGCCTGGGTGCTGGGCTGCTGCTCTTGCGGGCTGGGCGGCTCCGTTTGGCAGTACTGGAGAGAGAAGAGAGACCGGAAGAAGACGAATCGGCAGTATGCGGCTGCTCTTGCTGTCGCTGCTGCTGCCGCCGCCGCCGCTGCTGCTGCTGCTTCTGCTGCTGCTGCTGCTACCGCCTCTGCTTCTGCTGCTGCCGCTGCTTTTCCTTTCTTGCCTCTCCCTCTCCCTCTCCCTCTCACTTGCCCTTTCCCCCTCTTCCCACCCCTCCCCCTCCCCCGTCCTCCACAACTTTCTCTCTCATCCCCTTCGCCCTCTTCCCCTCCATCTCCCTCCTCCGTTCTTCCTCCCTCTGTCCTTCCCTCCTCCCCTCCTCCCTCCTTCCTTCCCTCCTCCCCTCCTCCCTCCTTCCTCTCCTCCTCCTCCCTTCTGCTACCAAAAAGCGCGTTCTCTGCTCGTTCCCACACTCTCACTCCCTCCCTCACTCCCTCTGCTCCCCCTGTCCCTGCCAGCGCCCACACACACACCACCACTAACTCAACCAGCATTTCATACTCTTTATAAGCATCTCCCATACTAAGACCCTTTTTAAAGTCACTCGCATCCCCGCCCTCTCCCCATAACAGCTCTTTCAAAACACTACCAACAGCTTCTGAAGTGGCTGCGTATACAGAAGAGGGTACCGAATCAGACTGTAGAGGGGACGAAACAGGAGAAGGACCATCAACACCTGAAGCAACACCTGAGGAAACACCTGGCTGTCTGTTGCAGGCTGCATATCGTACCAGGGAGATTGCCACAGCAACACGTGCGAACAGCAACCCCTCGCCCTCTCGCCCTTTCTCTCTCTCTTTCCCTCTTCCCTTCTCTCCTTGCCACCTCACCCCTACCCCTTCTCTTGCCTTCATCGCAAGAAGCTTCCATGCAGCTTCCAAAACTGTCCCGGCCATTTTCTCTCCCTCAGGTAACACCCACCCCACATGCTGACAACCTGCCACCCAGGGCATATCCACCAGCGGAATCAAATCCTGCCGAAATCCGATCTTGGCTGCTACAGTGTCAGGGAAGTGGCCGGCGGAGAGGAGGTGGGCGGCGGAGAGGAAAAAGACGGCAGCATCAAGTGGTGTGAGGCAGGATAGTAGCGCCTCTGCTGCTGCTGTTGCCGCTGTTGGAGCCACAGTTGGTGCTGCTGCTATTTCTCCTCCATTAATTTCTCCTCCATTAATTTCTCCTCCATTAACTTCTCCTCCATTAACTTCTCCTTCCTCCGCTGCCCCCCCTCCCTGTCCCTTGCCCCCCTCCTCTTCATCTCCTACACCTCCCTCTCTCTCCCCCTTCCCAAACCTCTCCACCGCACTCACCACCATCCCCACCCACTCCCACACCTTCCTCCCCTCCCCGCCCTCCCCCCACACCAGCAGCAGCTGCAGGGCACAGTCAAGCGCCTCAGCACTGCGCTGACTCGCGTTGACCGGGTCAAACGCAGGCGGGGTGGCCAGGGGGGGCGGCAGCTGACTCAATAAACCTGAGAGGGACACCCCTTGGGGAGCAGAGGAGGAGGCCGAAGAAACGCGGGACGATTGCGAGGGGGCGGCGTTAGGGTTTGACAGGCCAAGAGAGGAGCGCAGGTGGGGGGTTATTGAGTCGAGTGCTGCGCCTTTCTCTTGCATCTCTGCTGCTGCATCGGATCCCAAGGGGACGAGGAGGAGGAGAGGAGGAGGCGGAAGGGAGGAGTGGGAGACTGGGAAGGGAGGGTGCGGGCTAGAGAGGGGAGTGAGGGGGAGGGGGTGTGTGAGGGGAGGAGCGGGCAGTGGGAGAGGAGGAGGAGGGTGTTGGTCCAGGTGTCTGCTGCTGCTGTGCATGAGATTTGTGCTGTCGCCTTGTGCCATTGCAGCTGGTGCCACGAGGGCAGGTAGAGGGACTGCAGGCAAGGGGCAGGCAAGGGGCAGGCAAGGGGCAGGCAAGGGGCAGGCAAGGGGCAGGCAAGGGGCAGGCAAGGGGCAGGCAAGGGGAGAGGGCAGGGGGGAGAGGGCAGGGGGGAGAGAGATACAGGAGGAGCGTGTTGGTCCAGGTGCCTGCTGCTGTGGTGCAGGAGACTTGCGCTGATGCCTTGTGCCATTGCAGC